CATGGCAGGGGCGAGGGCGCCTCTGCGCGTGCGCGGGGAGGGGGCGGCGTGACGTCAGAGCGGCGCTGCTCCCCCTCGCGGCCGCGCCACAAAATGGCGGCGGGCTGAGGCGGCGCCATGGCGGCCGAGGGGGAGCGAGGCCGAGGCCGCGCCTCGCTGCTCCGCGCTGCCCGCCGCCCCAAGGAGCGCGCGGCAGGGCCGGCCCTCGGCCCGCCCGGCCCCAACCCGGCCCTTTTCTTTAGCCTGGGCGGGCCGTGGTGGGCAACCTGTCCCAGGCCAGGGCAGCTCCAACAGCTCACAGAGTAGAGGCACCACTGCTCTCCTTCCAGCCCCCAATTGCCTTAATTAAAACTAAACAAAAGCAGGGCAAGAGGTACCTGTGCTCAGACTCATCCAAACTCATCACAGCTATTGAGCTACAGCCACTTAAGGTCACTCTTGAAAAGCTTCCCCCATGCCCTTCTCCCCCACCCCTTTAAGAAAGAGGAGTATATAGATTAGTATATCATTTATTTGAGCTAGGTTACAATACACAGACAAGGAGAAGGCTGAAGTTATCACCAAGATTATTTCTGCATGTGCAGAGAACCTGGGGGACTGACATTCCAGAGACCAGCACTCTAACAGGAAAGGGGAAGTTGTTTGCATAAATACAGACACTGGAATACATGTAGTTTCACAGTTTTAAGAGGAGTATATGTTACAACTTTACACTTTAAATTACTTCACCAGAGTTGGAGTAATATTGGTTATAAATCAGCAGTGGTCCCACTAGCCAGGGTACAATTTGACTGTGAAGATGGAGACAGTGTAAGCAAAGGGAATACCAATAAACTAAAAAAATACAGTAACCAAAAACAAAAACAAAAAACCAAAAGAACACCCAACAAACACACTTACAGGAATGATCCTTTCCTTTAGGAAAGTTCCAGCTCAGACTCATCGATCTTATACACAGTTAAGTGCAAAATTCCAGAACCTCCTACCCAAAGAAAACTTTAAAACCTTTAAACTCTGGAAACTGAAGAGTACAAAAAGTAAAGAGAATGAGAGAGTTTAGCTGCTTCCAACTATTAAATACAGTAGGTAACATGGAATATCACAAGTTTTGGTTTTTGATTAAGCTTCTATTACAGGACAGTTGCTTGCACAGTTTAACTAGGCAGCTCCTAATGCCTTTCCACATCAAAGTCCCAGTCGTAGCTGTCCTCTGTGCAGGCTTCTGACTTCGTTAAGTGACATTCTGAGGCAAAACTACTTGTCACATAGTCATGTGCTCTGGTAAGACATAGGATATGTCATCCCAGGGGTGACGGTAGAGGCCTTGTTTCAACCTCTTCTGATCCAGGTAGTGTCCTAAAACACACGTGTCTTATGTTACAAGATCAGCAAATCTTATTTTGCCCTGAAACAATCTCGATCATTGAACTTGTACAAATATTGTACAACTCCAGAGGTTGGCACTTGTGCATTTGTGGTGACAGGGCATTTCACAGTAAGATAGAAAAGGGAGGAAAACCAGAAATCTTACCAATAAATCCCATGCTCCTGCCTAGTACGAAGATGCCATTAAGGGCTCCTATTTCAATATATTCATCTGCTTCTTCCCTGCAAAAGAAAAAAAAATGCAAAATGCTTCTTGATATTGGTTCACTTGAGAAGCAACTCAAAAAAGGGGCTATGAAACAGCTGTAGTGTCAGTGGCAACACTGACTTCACACAAAAGCTTCCTCCCTGCCAAGAATCCAAGCTACATTTCCTTCAAGTGTCCTGAAATCATGGCCCACATGAGCTTGCAATAAAGCTTCTGTCCTGTCGATAGTACCATGAACTAAGAGAGCCCAGTGCAGACTTACCGGGTGAAAGAGCCACAATTCCTGAGGACATCAACAAAGGCAACTCCAATAAAGCCGTCTACATTCAGGATAAGATTTGGTTTCTGATGGAAATAAAAACACATCCCAAATTACCATGGTTTGCTGTTGTGAACATCTTCACACAGGTCACTCCTCCCTCAAAAGAGGGCTCAAACCAAGGTCAATACTAGCACATTTTACCTTGGAAGTTGTAATTTTCTCTACTTCAAGTGCATAGTCCAACAGTGGTGTGGCAGGGAAATGCTGCTTCACATAGTCCTTGAGAATCTGAACTCTCATATCTGGATTATTTATCTGCAAGTTAAAAATCTCATTATATGCACATCTTTCTACTTTGGCAAATAAGCTTTATTATTTATGTAGCTCAGATTTGAATCTCGAGATTGAAGTTCTTTGAGTATCTATCTTTGGAAAAGTGCTGTCCTTTTTCTTCCCCTTCTTCCCCCACACCCCCCAATTAAAAACTCCTCCTCTCATTTGGACCTGCAATAGAGGCTTCTTACCGATTTGACTCGGTGTCCAATGCCCATGATAAGTTTCCCTTCCTTCTTCATTTTATTCACAAACTCCATAGGGATAATGCCACTGTCAAAGGCTTTGCTGAACACTTTGGCGGCAGCGTCCAGTGCTCCTCCAAATCGGTCACCCTGGGTCCAACACAAAGGAGCTTTAGCAGAAGACTCTACAGTTAAGCTTCAAAATAAACAAGAGATAGATCTTCCACATCCTTCTTTCCTAGTAATGTGGCAATCATTAAGCTAGTTGGACAGGCATCCGTTTATAACTCACCACAGGTGTCAACAAGGGGCCAGCGGAGTCTACTACAGAGACGGGAAAATGCAACCTAAAATCCCATTTTATTCTAGTATTACCTATCAGTCTGAGAAGAGACCTAGCAACTGTGCATGGATAGCAAAACATCTGTAGATTCAAACAAAAGTCTTGCTTATAAGAAAAGTGGAATAGATTCTAAACCAAGAGCAGAGAAGCTCAACCATGAAGTTTTCCCCAGTAACCTCTCACTGTGATCAAGCTGCTTGCCTAGCTATTAGTGTCAAATTTGGCAGAAATTAGCTCACTGAGTGAGCAGTCTAGTCCATGGCTGTGTAGTCCTTTCAAATCCTAACTTGCTAGCAGGAAACCTAGCCTAATAAACTGAATCTCCTGGATAATAAGTACTCACAATAGTAAGGAGGCCTGAAGTGAGACTTGAGACAAGATCTTTTCCAGCTCTTGCACAGACAATAGTGTTGTGGGCTCCAGATACAGCAGGTCCATGATCTGCTGTTACCATCAGACACATCTCAATAAATTGACAGGCATATTTTGGTAACCTGTCCAAGAGAGAGACTGAAGTCATTTATCAAAGGAAATGACAACCTGACACTTCCATCTTACATTGCACAATAACTTCCATTTTCGGTTTGTGTGTGATGTAAATTTGTATTCCTGTGATCAGCTTTCACAGGAGCTATGTAGTTCCCAAGGTGAGTTTACACCTATTCAGAGGGCTGACAGCTAAGCTCTGAGCTCCTCTCAGAGCCATGAGGAACATGAGGTTGCAGGACAGATCATGCTGCCCTGTTGAGTGACAAGTTTCAGCAGGTGTCAAAAACACCTCTTATGACGGTGTGATCAGCCCAGGTGAAGGCAGAAGGAAGCTTTGCTAGTTGGAAGTTTCCATGTAGGCCAGTAAGCCAATATGCAGGGAACTGCCAGTCTCTCCAAGGCTGAAAGATGACAACTGTAACAAGTCCAAGAATGGAAAATGGGGCAAGAATGTATTGTTTTCCTCAATGCAACAACACTTGTGAAAAATCTTCACTCCAAGCTCAACTACACAGGAAGAAGCCTTGAAATGCCAATGTGGTCTCAAAGAGAGAGAATACAGGCATAATACTTCCAATGTGTTTATGTTCTCGAAAAAGTCCTGGAGTTACAGTTGTCCATTAATAGAAGACAAGCATCAAGTCAAACAATCTGGGAGCTTCCACAAGGCTGCCTTACCTCCTTTGAAACCAGAGCAGCCCCAGAACCCCTCCAATTCCCATTTCTTCTTTGAAGACCTCGGTGATGGGCATCCCAGCATAAATCAGTTCCTGACCTCTCTCATCACAGATACTGGTCATAAAGGAAGCTGGCTTGCGGATCAGACCTAGCTCCTGAAATTGCAGCATAGATGAGATTTTAACAACGCACCCTTAAAAGCAAAGGACACCGGGAGGTAAGTACAGAGTGACCAAGCCAGAAAGTGTTAGCCTTGCCCTCAGGCCTCCACAGCCCAGTAACAGGGGCAGCCAAGGAACCCTCAGACAAACTGCAAGATGTAAGATATAAATTCCACAGATAACTTATCACCATAAACATCTACAGCCACAGCAAACATCCTGCCTGGTTTCCAAGGAACCAAAGAGAGTCAGGCAAAATAGCACAGCTCACCCTTGCCCAGGAGTAGTCCATTGGCACAGTGGGAGGAGGCACTTCCTCAGCTGGTTCAATCACTCTTCTGGCAACAAGATCCTGATAGACAGACCTAGGGAGAGAATTCATTTCACTCTTTCCAAGAACATAATTGAGGTGGTCTTGATCAAAAACATAAAAAGTCAGAACTAATAGAAGTAACTTTTCTAAAGCAAGAATGCATTCCAGTATCAGCTTAGAGTCAGTGCTCTATCAGTTTATATCCCCTGCTCAACGTGACTCACTGAATGACCTCTCCCAGCTCGTCAAAACTCCGCGGAACAAACACACCAGCTTCCTTCAAAGCCTTGTTCTTTGCAACAGCAGTTTCGGAAGCCTGGTTGGCACAAGCTCCTGCATGGCCAAACTGCACCTATTAAAAAAAAAAAAAAAGTAAAAAAAGTGACAGCAGAAAGGAATAGAAGCCACTTTTAATTGCGGAGGAAGAAAGAATACAGATCTCACTAGCCAGCTGTGGCTGTAATACACGTGATCACACATCTAGCTACTTATTTTGGTGAACAGGTCTGTTGTAGCTGCTCAGCGCTGCAATAAGCAGAGGTTTGCTCATGTGAAATCACTCCAGGCTCTTCCACTGACATGGCCTTGCTAAATTCACCCCATCCCCCGAGTTCCTTTACATGAGCACCTTCCTCATTCCCACTTCCCAATTCCCCCAGCTGCTAAAATCTGTTGCATTCACTGGGATCTCTGGACTCCTTTTACTTGCAAGCAGTTACAGCACATAGGAGACTTACTTTGCAAGTCTCTAGTGACAAACTACAGAAGTAGAGAAAGCTTTTATCATTTTACTTAAAAGTTCTGCATCTCAAAGGATGACTGGCAACTCTAGAAGGCCTAGAGGAGTTGAAAGAGCAGGATATTTTCCTCCTGCCTCAGATATATTCACTTATTTTATGCAGTTGCCCCTATTTATGCACCTACCTCTGAAGAGAACATGGTAGCGCAGGTACCAATACACCAGCACACCACTGGTTTGGTGATACGGCCTTCTTTAATACCCCTGCAGATCTTATACTCTTCTGTGCCTCCAATCTGCAGAAACAAAGAGCACCGACTTGAATCAAAGCTTTATACTTGCACAGGGAGGGACACAGAACCATTACTTGCATTGCCCCCTCCTCCCCGCTGTGTCATTGGGCAGCACCTGCAGCCTGCGAAAACAAAACCCACAGCTTCTTTACTCAAAACCACCAATATATAGATACAAAGGTATTCATATTGGTTTTGAATAGCTGCCACTCATCTATGGCTGTTATTTGGCACTCTTGCAGCTAAGTCAGATGCTCCCAAGTGACTTACGAGGGCAGGGGAAACAAAAACACACTTGAGGATTTCTCAAATACGAGCGACGTGGTTTCACTCACCTCTCCAAGCACCACAATCATTTTCACTCCTGGAGTATCCTCATAGCGTAAGACATGATCCATAAAAGTCGAACCAGGGTATCTGGGCAGAATCCAAGGAAAATGTCAGGAGTTAACTTTGCTTCCCAAATGTTTCTGAAGGCAGAAGCGTTACTAGGCACCTTGCCTTTTCCCCTCTAAATCACTAATATTCAGGTAGTTTCTTTTGTTGACTGACTTAAAGTGATGTCTTTGAAGCTACAGAATCTTACCTGTCTCCTCCAATGGCCACCCCTTCATAGACCCCATCTGTGGTTCGAGAAATTATGTTGTTGAGCTCGTTGGACATTCCCCCGGAGCGGGAGACATAGGCCACGCTGCCAGGACGGTAGAGTTTTGAGGCCAAGATGTTGTCCAGCATACCTCCTGTGTTGCCTATTTTAAAGCAACCTGGTTTGATCCCACCAACCTTCAAGAGATTTAGAGAAAGATATAAAGCCTTTTAAAACATACCCAGGGATCTACACACATTTCTGTAAATCAAGATTTAGACAATCAAGATTTAGACAAATACTAGGACAGTAACAATGACCTTCAAATTGGTAAAAAATGTGCACTTTAGCTGTATACAGACAAAAGCTTGTGGGATACGCAAGCTTTTCAGAGGAAGTTCCTTCAGAGGAAGTTGATTTCAAGATTAAAACAGATGGGCAAGAGAAAGAAAAGTCATCACTCCTTACGGTTGCAGGGCCAATGATGGTGACTCCTTTCTTATCAGCAGCCTTGATGAGCTTGCGTGTCAGTGCCTCGGGGATGCCCTCAGCAATGATGGCAATAGTGCGGATCTGCAGGGAGACAGCGTCTTCAGTGTCTTCTTAACAGGTCCAGAGGAGCAGAGCTTCCTTTACACAAGTTTTAGAGCTTTATCCACATAATATTACAACCCTACCTTACAGAGTTTCTTACACAACTCCAGTATCTTCCACAGAATCTACAAGGAGTTTGAACTGCAATACACATCTGCCAGGCCAGCAGACCCCAAACACAATTTGCTAGAGTTGTTACAGTTTAAGAGACACTGGTCTCCCAACAATTTGGGCAAGAACTTCTTTCTTTTCCTGAGCTTTCGATTCCTGACTCACCTGCGGATAGTTCATCGTTTCAACGGTGCTGTCATAAGCAGAGCGCAGCGATGCAAAGTTGATCAGAACATCCACCTCAGGGTGCTTCCTCATAGCATCAGACATGTTCTTGTACACTGGGATCAGGATTTCCTTGTGGCCCCAGTAGAACTTCTGCTTGTGGTCACCACTATGAAGGAGAAGACAACAAAGACCCAAAGTTAAGGCTGCTGCAAAGACAAGGAGATACAAGGCATGCAGAGACAGGGGTTACAAACCCCAGTTCTCAGACATCAAAACTGACTGCGAGACACTCACTATCACGTGAGCGTACATAGGAAGGGACCATACTAACAGCAGAAGTTCTTCAGAGTACAGAACAGAGCAGCATATGGAAGGAGACGGGCTAATGGGGACAGAAGCATCCAGCAAGATGAATAAGCTCTCCCACTGTGAAGCTACCAGAGCCTTAATTCTACTCCAAGCTGGAAGACAGAATGAGGCACAGAAAGAGCAATGAATGAGATGCATGCAAAGCCACGTTACAGCACTGGAGCAATCTAGGTGTTCCAGGTGGAACAATCTTTGCTGTAGGTAACTCTGTGTATGCAGAGGGCTTGGACTAGATGATCTCTAGAGGTCCCTTTCAATCCTAAGGATTCTAAGGATTCTATGAATCCCAGGCTGCAGGAACAGGGAGCCAGTATCTGTGGTAAAGAGCCACAGTAGCAATTAAAGGACCAGCCAACTCTCCAGGTCTGCTGCAGTGATTCTCCTCCACAACACACTGGAGGGGATGCCCCTGGGAAAAGTTCTTCTGCAAGTGTTTTTCCATACAAAATAGACTTTCTGAATGAAGCTCCATTGTATCAGGGCTGCTCGGGCACTTCAGAGCCTAGAGATACCGGCTGTGTTCTCATTCTGTCACAAATGTAACACCACTTCCCAGTTTCCAGTCAGGCTTCCTCCCAAAGGTCCTGCCAATACAATATTGTTCCTTTCGAGCCTAAACTTTTTATCCCTACAGCTTTTTCCTCATAAAACAGCTACCACTCTACAGTGCCTGCACTCTACAGTTTTAGTACCCGGGAACAGGCACTAGGTGGGAAGGGATGAGAGCTGCAATTATCATCAGAGCTGCAGGCTAAGAGCACAGGGTGCTTAATGAGCAATCAAGCAGGGGAAGAAACCTCTGCGTGACAGCGGTTGATTAATCACCAGTTACCCTGGGTGTCCCTGAATGCCACAGAAACTGACCCAGCCTCCCAGGGGCTCTGCCAGCAGACACCCCTTCCCTCCCCTCTGTCCATCCTGCTCAACAGCAAAGACTCCCCTACACTCCAAGCACTTCAGGGCAGTAAGAGGAGACCTTACGGGGAGGGGGGGGGCAATTCTGACTGATGGCAACGTGAAATACTCAAGTTAGTAGTGTCTCCCCACCCCTGTTCCTCACCATATTACCTAGCTCCAGCAACTATGATTAAATAAGGCAAAGAGCACGAGAGACCTCTGCATCAGGCCACAGATCTACAGACTTCTGCCCTCTGCAAGAAACTGCTGCCACTGTCAGACTCTACAAACAAGAGAGGGGAAAATAATTCTGTTTGCTTTTATATTAGGCAGACTCCCTTCAATCTAATCAGTAAAGCTGCTCTGATTCTGGCTGATACTTGGAGGGGAAAGCTCCAGCAGGCACAAATCAACTCGCTTCAGACAACTATGCAGTGAATACCAGGCAAGTGGAAGAGACCTAAGACAGTCTCTGGTAAGCCAGTGGGCTAGGGCAAGAGAGCCCAATTAGTATCACCTTCCTCACCTGTTGTGTGGAAAAAGCAAACTCAGCCCCTCTCAGAAAATGGATGAAACGGGGACTTGAAACAGCTCCATTTTAGCCATGAAATTTCACAGAGCATCCTGTGATCAATGGCCGAGGCAAACAGAAGCAGCAGCCTGCAAAGCCAGTCTGGTGGCAGGAGGGAACAAGGCACGAGAGCAGAGATGTAGATTAGGGCAGAGCTGTGCTGAAGAACAGCAGCAGTTGCTAAAGAGGGAGCTAACTGAAGGATTCAGGACAGGCAGGCAAAGGACACTTACGTGAACGGATAAACCATGGCAGCCACGGAAGGCTCATCCCGGGAACAAATGTAATCGAAGTCCAGCATTCCTTGCACTGCCCGCGTCTGCATCCCCCAGATGATGGCTTTGGTGTGACGGCTGAACAGCGTCGTAGCTTTACCTGCCCGGGAAAGGGAAGACGACGAGACAAACACACCCCAAATGTACAGCTGGGCAGGACGAAAGCCACGCGCCAAACGCCTGCTGAAAGACCCCCAAATAAGCACGTTGCCCTCCCTCCAAACCAGACCCAAGAGCTCAGCTGCACGAGGTAGTAGCCACACTAGCCAAATTAAGGAAGAAACTGCAGATGAAGCAGCATTTCCTTCCCAGGATTCTGAACAACAGCCAGGTTTTGGGTTTCACAGAAGGGGCAGATACCTCCTCTCTCCAAGAGATCAACCATGTTCTCCTGGAACCTTTTTCTTTTCCCCTCTGCAAAGTGATAACAGGAAACTTTATGCCATATACTACTAATAATGCCATATACTTTATGACATATACTACTAATAATAAAAGTCCTTGTGAGAGGACCACACAAGGCCAGATACACCTATCAGGAGGCCACAGCAGGAAACAGGGGAGCACAGGAACAGGCAGAAACTACTTGCCCCCTCTAGTTTTTTGATTTTAAGAATTCATTAACTCTTGGGACAATCATCAATGCAACCCAAAACTTGGCTTTGGAGGACAGAGTCACAGGAAAGGCAGTAGTTCAGCTAGTGAAGATGGACTAGTTGCTTGAAGTACATTTACATCACTTGTCACAGCAAACCATTGACTTTGACTCCCTTTGATTCCCCACAGTTTCTTTCAAGTCTGAGCCAATTCCTCAAGTCAGAGCTGATCCCAACTCTGTTTCTTTCCGGCTTTGAATCACAGGCAGACAACGTTAAGGACTCTACGAGATACCGTTCTCCACCAAGAAATCAGTCACTAATTCCTCCAACTTCACACGGTCACAATTCAGACGAGCTGCCACACATCTTAATATTTAGAAAGCTTGGCTCCACCCCAAAAAATACATTTTTCTTGCAGGTAACTGCAATGCAGTAACACTCACATCCATAAGAACAGGAAAATGCAGGCCCAGGAGGGGAATGATTTTTGCCTAGCATCATACAAGGAAGAATCTAAGAGACCGCTCTGCCCTCCTCCTCTTCCACTTCAAAGCACAAGGGGAAGGGAGCTCCAGACTTCACGTTGCCCCCGATTCAGCACTCGTTCCTACCCAGCACAGAGCTCAGGGCCTTACACCAGTGCCCAGAGCCTCCCTGAGCACCAGCTTTCATGGCCTGCTAAACCGCACAGCCACAGGATCACTGGGTTCCCTGGGTGCCTTGGCTGTGCCCTCCAAGGCTCCTTTGCGCGCATCCAGGTTACGGGGCTTCCCTTTAGAACAAGGGGCCAGTTATTAGGAATATTCCCTAAGGATTCCCTCATTTGAGGGAACAAGTTGGCAATTCCCTCATTTCTGAAACAAAAGGCTTCATACGTGCTGAGACTTCCTCCCTAATGATTATGGGAGAGAAGTGTTCGAGACCTTGTCCCTCCCTCCCCCAGAAGCAACAAATCTCCCTTTGCAACCGAGGGGGTAAGGGGTACTTCAAAACCAGCTAAAGAGTTCGTATGGTGCCAACTATGTATACTGGGCAGGAGGGAAGGCAAGGACCAGACAACACTGCAAACTTTGAGAGAGAAAACAGCAATGAAAACAAAAAAGGTCAGCTAAAAACATCAGCTGCCAGCAAGGCCAGACACATTCAGCTAGTCACACGTGTCCTACCTGTACCAGGTCTTGAAGCTGGGATTGAATCTGTTGGAGAGAGAATCACTCATGCAACTAGATGACACAGTTGTCTGCTGTCACCCAGCAGCTCCTTGGTTTAAAGCAGAGTCTAGAAAATCAGAGACTCCAAACCAAATGCCTTTTTCTTCTTCCTCCTTCACCAAGTACAAAGAAAAGCTACACAGCTCTTTTTAATGGCTAGATTCTGTGTTACAAGATAGACACTCTGTGCCCATGGTGCCAGGCAGCTCTGAAACCCACCCTCAACTGCACAGTTCCTTTTTAAAGCAATACCAAATAAAACCCTGCTGGGAAATACCAGCAGAATTAGCTTGTACAGAAAAGCCCGGAGCATTCCCCATTGTACTCCTTCTCCAAGTGCCTGGACACTTAGCTCTGCATGCTGCCATCCAAAGGGTTTTGCTTCTGAGGAAGACACATTTCAGGTTGAGGTGACAATTCCCTGCACTGTAAGCTCCACAGTTCAAATTTGCTTGAGCAGAGCTTTAAAAAAAAAAATAGATTGACAGTTCTGAATCCTGCTGCCATTGTGTCACATCTGCTGCAAACAAGAGCAGTATCTCCTCACACTGAAGGGAAGGGCAGGACAGCATCACGTTTTCTCCCTGACCAGTTTTGCTATTGCTTTCCTTCCCTTACAAGCAAGCTCTCACCCAATAAGGCTTCCAAAAGTACAACCAAAAGGCTGCCCAAGCTCTTGCAAATCAGTACACCACAGACATTCCCTACAATCTTAAGTACAAAAAGCAGTAACCCCAGATGCCAGTCATTTGAGGAACAGGTCACAACTCCGACCTGACGTGGGCTTCAGCACTGTTTATAGAAGGTTCTTCCAGGAAGATGCACATACTAGGAAGGACTTGGAATAGCCACACAGCTCCAACGCCATCCCATAACATCACCTCACCAACCACAGTCCTGAGACTCCAAACTTTCCACTGATCTTACATGACAAGAAACAGGAAAGCCAGAATTCAAGTCACCCTATTCCCTTGAAAGGGACATCCCAGACCAAAACAACTCAACTCACCTTGTTTAAGCTAACAGCACACAAACAAATTAAAAAAAAGCAAACATGACAGCTTTCACAAAATTGCTTATCTTTCTAACTAGAGAAAGCAATAGTTAAATCTCTATTTTTCAACTGAGCGGAATGCACTAGGTCCTGCTCTCTTGACAATGTGCAGCAGAAAAGAACTGCTAGTGATCCTACACAGTGCTGCACTTACCAAGAGGTGCTGTTGGCTTTGCCTTCTTGGCTGGAGCAATGTCATCTGCTCTGGACTCAGAAAAAGAGGCTGTTCTGCTTGGTGCCGGAGTCTGAAAGATTTAGAAGCCAAGTCAGTAGGAGAAAAGCATGTCAGAAATTGGAGATCGGGTATTTTCTTTGTACGGTTGTGGTTTTCAAGCACCGTTGCAAGGCCTTACAACTGAGGGCAGCCAGAATTCCTGCAAGAGGGGGACTCACCGAGGGGCTGCCGCTGGCGTTGAGGAGGAAGTTGGCAGTGTGGGCTGCAGCAGGAGGCTGGTTGGGGATCGGCCGGTGGCCCAGGGCCATGCCCACGATGGCAGTCATGTGAGTCTCCGTGCCGAAGACGTGGATGGGGATCCCGGTGGTCTTCCCTGGGGATGCATGCAGAAACAGTCAGGTTTGGGGGTAGGAAATAGGGGGACAAGATGAGCTTCTGCTGAAGCCTTGAGAAGCCACCCCAGAAAGCAAGGAGGAGAAACAAGGCAAGAACAAAACTCAAGTGGATGGTTCTTACCTACTTCTCCCATGACACGCAGTCCTTCCTGGTAGTTCGGGCCTCCCCTTCGCACAAAGATCCTCACCTCATGCTCCTTCAGAGGGCCTTGATAGTCTCTAATTGCTCTCACAATGCCCTAAGAAGAGAATATATAGAGTGAAACTGTACTACTGCTGCAGCCTTTAGAAATAGCATCACCTATGCAAGGCAATAAAGACATTCTACCATCTCTGTCCCTAGCACACACTCCAATCCGCGCTCAAAAGTGTCCGAGAAGGCAAAAGGGAACCGAGCACTTGGTCTCTCTGCAGGGGAAGGAAGAGGGATTGAACTGCAGGAAAGAAGCTTAAAGCCATGGAGTGCACATGGGGCTCACAATCAGTAATCACTTACCTTAAAAGTGGCTGCCACATTGGTGAAGTTAGCAATGCTGCCTCCAATGATCAGGATTTTACCTGAGGAAGGAAACACTAAGTAAAACAACCTGTTTAAAGAACCGAGTTACTTCTAGACCATGCAGCAGTTTAGAACATGAAGTCAAACAGTACTGTAGCTCAGACTAAACAACAGTTCTGCTGAGGGTATTGAGCAAAGCCTAGGTAAGAGCTTTATACCAAGCTAAAATTTTTCTGGTAAGAACCTCTTGATCCACATTTATATTCTTTGTGGCATGGAAAAATACAAGTCCTGTCTCTGAAGGAAGAGCTGAAAGAAGCCCACTGCTATTGCATCCAGAAGGAAACCACACATTAACAAGCTCTTCCAGGCAGATCTAAATACAAAAACAGACCAGAATCCTCCTGTTTTTCCTCTAAAACCACCTGCACATTCAAATGACTTTGAGCTATACACCCTTGCCAACCAGTTCATTACAACTGCTACAGTCCAAACTCCAGCCTCTTTCTTACCTTCAGGGTGTTTCTCTCGGGTCATGAGGGACAGAATAGTCTTAGCGTAGTCGTACGTTTGTTGCTCACTTGGAGCTCCCGAGTATTCACCATAGTTTGCCAGTTCATTCACACCCCCCAGGTCACAAATGGTGTCGCTGTAAGAAAAGGCCATTTAAGAGGTTACTCATTAGGGCTTTTATAGTTACTTGAAAACTATAAAGCATTCCTAGGAAAGGGACAGTTTCAATATATCGGTGTGTATATATAACTCTATATATCTCAATCTATAACGCTATATACCTATAACAGTTTCTGGTACCTGTAAACCACAGAGGCGCCGCCACCAGCCACCATGGTCCAGATCCTGCCTTTGGGATTGAGAATAGTGAGTTTCAGGCTGGCTCCACTCTTGGCATCCAGGTCAGCAATGTAGGCTTCCTGCAGAAAGAGCAGAAAACAGTACTGAGAATCCCAATTACTATACCCTCTTCACAGAGCCAAGGAGAGGCTGTGCCCAAGTTCCAGGGCTGTAGCCCTCCCACATCTCCCCTTGATGGGGACTGGAATTACAAACATGATTTCGATACGGAAAAGAAACTCAACTCATCTCTCACAGTCCACAACTGATTGTGTTACATGTTCTCCAAGACAGAACACTGAAAACAGAATGCATGAAGACAACTCAAAGGAGAAACTGGCTTGAACAAACTCATAATATGATTCTTGTTTGGCAAGATCAGAGCCTCCAAAGAATACTTGCTGTCTTCATAAGGTTTCACTCTGCTGTTTCACTAAGCTGCACTGCACTGGCCCTTCCATTTTGTCAGGCTTTTCCACCACAGCTCAGCAGCTCTTGGAAGCTCCTCACTTTCACGGCTCCACGTATCAGAGCCGCAAGAAAAAAGGATGTCTCTCTCCCCCAAATCAAATGTCTCCAAATTGAAAAGTCTTGTTCTGACCTTGTCAGCAGCCGGAGACCAAGGGAAATTAAAACAGGCACGCACAGATCCATGCCCTGGCTGTGCTGCAGCCAAGGACACAGTCACCCAGAGCACTGTCATTTGGCTCCCCACAGTGTCCCTGTCCCCCGGCGGGCCTGCCTGTTGAAGCACGTTCCTGGGAGTTCATTAACATGCTCAGTGAAGACACTGACATCATAACCTTCACAGTGACTTGTGGAGGGATGATTCAGAGAGGCTAAAACTGAACTAATCCATTAAAGAGCAAATTGAGTTAAGTGTTGGCATCCAGCAAGCTACAGGGAGAGAAACAACTAAATGGATTTCTTGGCCCCGATACAGAAACCTGCCCTGGTTTACACATAATTATTAAAATGAAAAAAATCAGAAGGACAAAACTCCTTCTGGAGACAGTAAAAGGGCCACCTGCAGTAAATGCCGGCACAATTAAGGAAAGAGCTCAGCTTCCAACAGCATGAAGCTACAGGAAGCCTATGCATGAAGCAGCCAACTGTGCAACTAGCAGCACAAGTCCAGGTAATTCCGAGAGGGAACAGGCACTTGAGTCTTGGAACAAAAAGTTTGTCCTTAGGCCACTTCTCATTCTTTGCTTTCCAGGCCAACAGGTAGATTAATATCTTAATTTCCTCAGAATTCTTCAAAATGTGATTGTTGAGAGGATCTTGCTTGAACGTACACTCCTACAGCTTTTGCACCTACCTGGTGTCTTGTTCTCAGGAATTAAACTAAAACACTGAGGACGTGCCAGCCCACAAGCCTGCCAGCAACCAGTGCTCCTCCCAAAATAATAATGCTGACAGGGGAGCAGTGCAAGAACCAGATAAAGATGACAACAGCAGAGCTTCTGGCATGTAATTCAGTGAAGTTAAATATAAAACCCTACCTAAAGAAAACTCAGTTCTAAATGAAAGAACCGAAAGAAAATCCAAAAACAGCAAGTAACCTCAAATCAAAAATGCTATAAGGAGAAACACTGCTACTACACAGGTTTGCCCAGGCTCGATGCTCTGCTTATGAATGGAACAGCAAAGCACTTGAAACGAGGCAGCAAAACCTAGAGAGGATAATCCCAGTGTCACAAACACAGCGACAAGGAACTGATGTGTGTGGTGGGGGACGTGGGCCCAAGAGGGGTGCCACTTGCCTCCGGGTAGGCCTCCCTGCCGAAGGGAGGGGGGAACTCCACGTCGCCCCACTTCACTTTGCAGATGTAGTCGGCAGTCGCATCAATCTTGGCAGCCAGGTCGAGGATGTAGACGCCGTCGCTGGTTACAACTGCGTTTGAGAAATAACACATACAACTCTGACACGTACAACTCGACTCTCAAACGCAGCGTTTGAGAAATAACACTCAGCTGCATTTTGTATGGAGGGAAACTACATGGATTTGCTCAAAAAACAATAAAAAAACCATGCAGAGATCATTACAGAAGCTGGATCGTGTTTGTTCCCCTATCTCCACCCTTGTTATTTAGCAACATCTAGCAAACCCAGAGAAGTCTCCTAAGAATCAACTACTGATTCAACTACTGAATCAACTACACGGTCATGGAGCAGGCTCGAGCTCAACATCGTTTTGCTCTAATTCAGAGCAATTTCCATGTTCTTCACCTCTGACTCAACCTCAGTAGCAGAAGTTTTTAATTTATAGCAGGAAATTAGATAACAGACAGCAGCACCTACTAACTGTCTCCCTTTTGGATTCATCTAACTGAATGCTCCGAGGGACATCAGTTACCTTTGTATTTCTTTTGTGGCATCACCTAATACTTTTGTGAACTACATAAACCACAGAAGAGTGAAATACACATTCAATATTTTAAAACAGATGAACAGGAAGTCCTGCACCCGGGCTCCAAAAAAGCACCAATTACCTAATGGATTGATCTCCAGGTACGTGAAATACAGATCTTCATAAAGGTTGAACAGGCCAGAGATGAAGCTAGCCAAGATACTGAAAGGGAAAAAAAATAAATTAAATATAGATTCATTAAAGCAGCCAAATATAAAATACAGCCTGCTCTGCTTCATTTGTATCAGCGGCCAACTGCAAATTTAGTCTGTATCAATTTTATTTCATTCTCATTCATCTTCTCTGGAAGAAGCCTAGGTGATGACTCAAGGAAAGGAAGACCTTGATGACTCATCTTAATTACACTCCACCAAACCCCTGAGAACACAGTTGCTCAACTATCAGATGGATGTTCAGTCTATTTAATCTCAGCAAGACCGAGATAGATCTCTGTTTCTTAATGCCAGACGTGCATCTTTGTCAGATCTAAGATTCATTAGGTGGGATGGGGAAGGGACTGGAATAAACTGCATTAGAGACAGCATACTTCAACCTTTTATTGCCAAATGAAGCCAGTCATGCCCACCATAGGCATTTAATTAAATGAAATGTAGAAGTTCAGACCTACAGTTCAGTTTGCAGTAAGCTTAGAAACAGCTAAGAAAATATTCTCCTGAAATAGCTGAATCAGGTAAGGCACAAAACATTCCTGAACTAGCAGCCAGACTCCCATCCCGTTCCCATTACTAAATAAGGGAAATTTCCATCTCAGCATGAAGGATCTAGATGCCATCCACGTCCCTGACACCACCCAGGTCAAGGCTCTGCTAGACTGAGCAGAGCACTCCTGTCAAGCAACGGCTCAAAGTGCCACCAACACTTGTTTTCAGTTTTCCAAGATGCTCAGAAAACGTCAAAAACTTGAATTTATGATGCACGGCACATTCTTGCGAGCAACAAAAAGGTCAGCAGAGTGACTGTTAGGGTGGAACAGTGTGAAAGGAAGTTGCACTTAAAAAATGGGAGGAGGAAGGTGCTTCTGAGCAGCTGGCAGTGCCCAGAGCTGGCAGGGTACCGGACATCCCTACTTACTCTTTTTTACTTGCTGGTGCATGCTGCAGGAGATGTTGCTTTATATCCGATTCACTCAGCTTTTCATCCACCCCTACGAGCAACTTCTGGGCTTTGGCATCGACGTCTCCCACATCCACACCTCCTTCGTGGTAGAAAAGGACATAGTCTCCCTCGCGGGCAGCGTATATGCACACGTAGAACTCTTCCGCCTGCAGTAGAAGCAGAATGAGCCACCCGAGGTGCACGGGAAAGGAGCCTGCAGCAGCAGCGGCACACGGGGCAGGGTGAGGCTGCCAGGGAGCGGGCAGCAGCGCTCATTTCTGGGCTTTCTGAGGAAGAGGAGCAGAATCAAACAGTGCTGGCCTGGGAGGGAAGGTGGTAGGGCCCAGAGTGCTTCGCCTTGCTAAAACCTACCACAGGGGCAGCATGTTCCACTTGTAGGAAGAAACCCCCATCACTGCTGCTCCCACCTTGCACAGCTCAAGTACAAACCTCACTCTAGCTTAGTAGTCAGCACCACCCTTTCCTGGGTGCAGTGAAAGCACCTACACTACTCAGATAACGGTCCCTTCCCCAACACCGTGACAGAGGACACAGATGTCACCAGCACAAACTGGGACATCTCCCACGTCAGTTTGTTGTTCACACATGGGAGCACCAGGAGCAAGCAGCAGGAAGGCACCTTTTCCCTGGCAGTTGGGCCCTCCTCATGGGAGCTGAGCACCCAACACCGTTCCTGACAAGCCTTTGCAGGGACCAACGCTGCACGTCCGCACGGCTCTGACAACATGCATCAGTCCTGACAGCTTGACAACACGCTCCCCAGCCTCTGCCTTCACTACATCAATCTGTCTGATTTGTCTGAGCACCATGCAGGTCGGAAGAGATTCAAAAGCACCTTTTTTATGCTCTAATTGGGATACAGACCTGTTTGTGGGGGACGAAGGGCTCAATCAAGAAATTCTTCAGGACTCCCTTAGCATTAGCAATCTGTAGACAGAAAACAGAGACAGACACCAATAAATGCTTATCCAATATTAACATTTATGACAGCATAAGATGTGCTTTGAAAACTAACATTGCTCTGAGTAGAATCGTTTCCTCCTGAGCATCTCTCCAACATGCATCCTGGGAAGCCAGCTCTGTGTCTGGCCCTGCTGCTGCCTCTCATACTCCTGAGCTGGGCAGCAAGGGGCAGCAGCAATGGCCTGAACCCAGGAGCCACCCTGGAAGGAGCAGGGAAGCACCCAGGGGCCACCTTAGAAGTGGACAGTGAGACCTTTCAACCTCTTCCCTGCAGCAGCAGAGGCCACAGCAAGGGCCTCAGCACTGTTCTGCACAGGAGCCTTCCCGCTACCCAAAATCAAACGTTTTGCTCAAGGGACACTCCTCCAGATGCCACAATTGATGCCCTGCTCCTGAAGATGCTGCTCTGGGAGCCAAAACCGGAGACCATCCCAAGTCCTTGGCACAGTCTTTCCTAGGATGAGATCGTGCTCAGCATTATTTCGACACCCCCCTCTTCACGCAAGGCGCTTGCTGCTGTTTCACAACAGCCTCCTGCACATCAATCACCCCGGGCACAAAGCCCCATCTCCTTGAGATGAAGCCCCACCAGCTCCCAGGCCACGGCACACGGGATGGCAGCCCCTTCTTTATCACTAGCATTGCAACAGCATTCCCAGAAGAAATATTATCAGCTAGCCCTGAGTTAAAACAAGGGCTTGAAACATCACTTGGTCTTCAGCCAAAACACACTGGCTGGCTACGAAAGGATAATTTTATGACAGCTTTTATACCTGTCTTGTTACATGTGCCTGGGGTATTTATGTGAAGCAACTTCACAGTCAAGTTAGATGGCATTTGAGCTATCAGCTGCTGACTCCCAAACGAAACATTTTCAGAACAGCACCAGCTCCTGCTGAGCTCTCATGGCACAAGCCCCATAGAGCTCACAGGGCAGTGGGTGTTAAGTAGGACACTACATTAATAGGACTAAAGAAATACCCACACGCTAGGATTCACGATGCAAGCAGACAGAAAAAAATACCCAAGTCCTCAAGATTTCGCTGCCGCTTGCGGCTGGTACTCACTGTGGTTTCGTGGCCCAAGCGCTGTTTCAGCCAAACTTTCACCTCATCCAAAGTGAGATTAATTCCAACCAGCCCAAGCTTCCCACGCCGCTTGATTAGCTGATCTGGCTTCACCACGAGGCGCTGCAATACCATGCAAAAGGGATTAAGAGACAGAAGTTTTGGATAGAGATTCTCTGCAGATGGTGAATCTGGAATTTAAGTTCTCTAGAGAATCTCTCTGGGAATACGTGTTGTAATCTCTTGGCTGGTGCCTAACATGCTGCAGTTGTTTAACAAACGCATCTCTAGGTGCAACGTGCCTGCAGTGTTTTGACGAGAAGCTGCCTTACTTTTCCTCAGAGACACCTGGGTATCGGCACAGCCTGAGCTGCCAGGTCTGGATTTCTGCAACTTGGATAACAACTCTTTCGATGCAAGTGTTGAAATAACTGTGTTGCCTACTCCCTTTCTATGAGAACTCACGCTGAACACGCTCGGTTCTGTGAACCATTTCCATAAGATACATCCTGGAATTGATATTGCTCTGTAAGAGGAGGCTCACAAAGCGAGGCTGTCACAGAGACAGCCACAAGCACAGCCAGCTGATTAGGAACCTCTCTGCTACACCTGGGACCAGCTACAGCCAAGTATCATGCACACACTACTGTATTGTAGCTGACTGTCATTGTTTATCTAAGTACATTTTTCTAGATATCTTATAAAGAGTCATTTTCCCAAGCTTGCAAATACCACTTTTGCTGAGAAATGGGTGTTGCTCTCCCACACAGCCAGCTAAACCCTGGAACTTTTGCAACTTAGAGCAGAGCCAAACCCCAACATGTTGCTGAGCAGACACCGCAGCCCTTCTGGCAGTCCAGGAGCTTGTTTTGAGGACCAGGCACTGTCCTTGCCCTCCTCTGGCTTCCTGCAATCTTTTAAAAAGCCCTACTGATATTTTCCTATTTTCACCTAACTCTTGCAGCTGAGCAGACTGGATTCCAATTACTTATTGTCAGGTTTCTATCAATCAGTAAGTAAAAGAATGTGAAATATCCCTGTTCTGAATTAGCCACTATATTAAGCCATTAACTGATGGCTTAATATAATTAGCCACTGGAAAGCGGCCAGGGTGGACAGCTAATAAAAGCAGCTCTGGAGACACATTCCCTGCAGAAAATGCACAGCTAGGAAGCACAGAGAAAACACCAACTGACATCTTCAGATCACACAGCCCTCTTGTTCTACCAGAATTAGCCTAGACCAACTTCTTCATAGTTATTGCAGCAGCTCCTAACTTGCCAACGTCTCTGCTGCTGTATCTCGCCAAATCCTCAAGTAAATTTTATAATCACAGCCCTGGGCAGCGCCTGTTTCCTCATCAGTGTTGCAAGCAGGCGCTGCAGGTGGAAGAGGCTGATCCCAGCCTCTCTGCTCACCTCGCTCACGAGCCAGGGGTGCTCCTGCGTGAGCCGGGCCCAGTCGGTGTCGGCAGTGACCCGCGCATACTTGAAGCGGTTCTGGATAGCGGAGGATGTGCAGATGTACTTGTACAGGAACTCCTTCGCTGTCTGCTCCGAGATGGCCTTGGCGGACATGGCTGCCTGCTCCGGGGGGAAAGCAGTTGGTTATGTGTACGCAGGGGACGGGACAGCTCCCACGGGTAACTGCAAACACAGTGCACAGAACCCACGCTGCGATCCTCCCTTGTAAATAAGCCTGTAGACCCCACCTGAGCAAGGAAGGGCTACCCCACACTGCCCCTAATCTGGCTCTTTTTCCAGAATTGGGGAGAGAGAGCCAGATGTTGGAAAACTCTGATCCGTTTCCCTTTGAGGGATGGCCTCACACCACTGCCACCTCATCGTGCAGCAGCACAGACACACCCTGTACCAAATTCGGGCCCCACTGCTCAAAACTTTCCACTACAACATCTGCTTTTGAGAAGTGCTATTTCTGGGATTACTCCCTGCCCCAGGTTATCTGCTGGTATCTGTTCTGCCTGGTAGGAAGCTGGAACGTCCTTGCTTTCTAAGCCCCTGCGAGTCCATCAACTGCCTCCTCTACAGGAGCCTAAAGGCCAGACCCACAAAGGCAGCGTCCCATTTCACGCAGTAAAAGCAGTTGGAAAAGGAAGGCAGCAAAAACAACGAATGCCTTTCTTAAGAAGAAACCACGCTGTGCTTCTCCAAGGTGACAGAGATCTTGAACACCACGACGGATTTTGAATGTGCATCTCCAAATTAAAACAGTCACATTCACACTAGTCACATCAATGACCACGATAAGGGTCAGCAACTGTACGCAGCTGGACCCAGCAACCCAGGACAACATTCCCAGTCCTACTCAGGACCGTGCAAAGAAAACCCAAACATCTGGAATAGCAAGGACACCAAGGGGACTGCTTGAGCATGGGGACACAAAGCGCAGGGGCCTTCCCCGCAGTGAGGCCCTGCGGAACCGTCCACCTCCACGTCCACCTGGCCACAGGCTTCACCCCATCCACGCTCTGCGGCTCCTCTTTCTCCCCATTTCACCACCTGATTTTTGCAGGAATGCAAGTGGCACAAGGAGAGAAAACCTACAAGATCACTGCAAGGTGAAAACAAACAAACCCTCATGCAACGTGAGCCATCCCACAGCAGCAGAGCAGCGGGATGGGGCTCTTTGGCCCTTATTTCCCAATGCTTCGCAGAGACCTTTCTCAATACCCCAGCAAGCCTTCAATCCCATCCCTCGCTGGGTTCTGCGGCAGCCCCTACCCTGCCATTCCCATGGGACAGACAGCCCAGAGCAAACGCTTCAGCCTGCTGAGCTGCTAAGCTGAAGAATTAGCAGGGAAAAAAAAAACCCAGAGCATCAGCAGCTCCCAGCGCCGTGCTCGGGCAAGAGGCGCAGCCCTCCCGGGCCTGGTTGCTTCTGTTCCCTGCAAACATGGGGCAAGAGCCCTGACCGCAGGTCAGCACGGGACAGAGAGCGGGGATCTCACCGCTTCCCAATGCCAGGACCTCACAGCCGACACGAATAGTCTTGTTTTCCAGTAAACAGTTGCAGCAGCAACTAACGCCAGTGAGCGCCTGGTGCATCACTAGGAAAAGATAGCAGGGAAAACCAGTGATTCCCTCTCTCCCTAAGGAATGGGAAGCACCGCACAGCATTCTCTTCTACTGATCCATTCACCGCTATTCAGGATCAAGTGAAACTACAAACTGCAGTTGCCTTAGGGCTTCAGGCCCCAAATCTGGGTGACCTCGAGGGGTGCAGGGACCGTCCGCTCTCCTGAACGTGCAGGGACCTCCACGGAGGGGACGTCACATCCCACGACTGTTTGCACAGGTGGATCTCGGCTGCAGGAATAAGTTACATGCAGAAGCGTCACAGATTTCACCGGTGGAATTGCGTTACATTTACCAACCGCTCCAAAACAAACAGCGTGCCTGCAGCAAGGTAGCTTTACATAACCGCGCACGGCCACCTTGCTAAAAAGCCCTTTTTTAACCCCCAGCCCTCCCCAGCAAGTCCAGGGGCTGCAGCACAAACAGATCAAGCCGCCCGCCCTGGGGTGCAAGGAGCTCTTGCTTCCCTAGAATGTCACCAGCCAAACACGCCAAAACAGACGGTTCTCAGGCAAAGTTTCTCAAGCGCATTAGCAAATAAGGAAAGATTCCCAGTGCGAGGGTGGCAAGTTGGACAAGGATTGAAGAGCTTGATGCCGTTGTGTTTGCTGGACACAACCGATGCGCCCGCCCTGCAAAATCAGGGGCTAGACAAAGGAAAACGCTGAGCAAAAATAGGCAGAGATGGGGAAACCGGAGAAGGCAGCGGGAACAGAATCAGGGTGAAGTCTCCTTGACTGTAGCAGGAGAAATAAGAGCATCGCTCGCTGGGAACACGGTTGGTCCCGGGCAAAGACACGGCGGCCTCGGCGGGCACGGGCCCGCGCGGAGCCCCGGGCGCGGAGCGGGGCAGGGCCCCGCGCGGGCGGCAGCGGGAGCCCGGGCGGCTGCTCGCGGCCCTGCACGGGGCCCGGCCCGGCAGCCCTCGCCCTGTTCGCCCGGCGCCGTTAAAAGGAGGCAGCAAGAAGGGACCCCTCCCCAAACGCTCTCCACCCGCTCCCG